GAGGAAAAGGGGGGAGGAGGAGGTAGGAGTGGCGTTGGGCCACGCCGTCGCAGCGGGCGTCGGGCGGTGCGCGAGCGAGCGTGCGGAGTGGGCGCGGAGGGGGGGGGGGCGGGAGCGGCAGGAACAGATGATCCGCACGGGCGATGGCCATCCCCGCAGGCGGGGGATCAGAGTGTGTCCAGAGGCGCTCGGTGCCAGCAGCGCGTCAGGGCGGGCGCAGCGACGAGGTGGCTCAGAGGGTCTGCCAGATTCGTCCCGGGGGGGATCCAGAGCACCCAGGGGCGCGCGCGCCTCACAGGCGGGTGTCCCATCAGACCTCTGCGCCCAGGCAACACAGCGTGGCCGATCCGATCAGGCCTTTGCGGATCACGATCTCGGCCGCGGAGCTATCCACGACGCCGGTGATGTCGGCGCCCTCCAAGTGGCGACGCCGCTTCCAGAAGGCAGGGCGCACGCACAGAGTTTTGCCTGCTGTGATCGGCCGCTCCCGCCCTGGGGGCAGGATGCGACCCAGTGAAGTGTCCGCAGGCGCGTCTAAGAAGTTGATGATTCTAAGCCTAGCGTCCAAGAGCGTTGCACCCAACGCCCCGGTGCACTGAACGCCTCAGTGCCGCGCGGCTCGCCGTGGCCCTTGGCGTCGCCAACGAGAAAGCAGTGCGGCTGGGAGCGAGGCCGACGCAACAGTGGGTTGAATTCGCCCCGACCCTGGCGCGCCAGGCATCTCCATCAAACCGTCACTGCGCATCCAGAAGTGCCAGTTCGTGCGCGAAGTCATCAATTGCTGCTGCTGCTGTTGCTGCTCACAGCCGCCCACAGTCACAACTAGGCACGGCCTTATCTGTATCCCAGGCGAGCGTGACGAAAAACAGTCCATCTTCTGCCTGGGGACAAGACGGCCCAGTGCAGCATTTTCGCATCAACCGTGGCCAGGGTGAGTTGGTGATGCGGGTGCACGCTTGAGCTGGCCTGGACCAGAGTAGTGGCCCCACCGACGCACTTCATCGTCTCAGCAAGCGGTGTGGCAGCAGCGTCTCCCCAGGCGCGAGACCATGTCGTGCTGCTCGGTGCCTGGGGGAGGAGGATGGGGTGGGAGGAGAGGAGGACGGGGGGAAAAAGGGGAGGAGGAAAACCAGATGAGGAGGACGAGGACGAAGAGGTGGAGGAGGAGGAGGAGGAGGAGGAGGAGGAGGAGGAAGAGCAGGAGGAGGAGGAGGATGGGGAGGAGGACGAGGAGAAATAGGATGGCTAGGAGGAGGCAAGCTGGGTACTCTCGCGTCATATCTGACGTCCTACCCCTCCCTCTCATCCCTTGCCATGGCGTAGATTTCCTTTCTATTCGCACAGTCGGATGTCGAGCAGGGCAATGGTCGCGAGAGGAGAACGGCAGAGGAATGGCATGGCGTAGAGGAGCACGGCAGAGAGGAGGAGAAGGTGCCTGGGGGCTGCCGCGGGGAGGCTTATAGCTGTGGGCGTGGGAAGAGGAGAAGAGGAAGCGGAGGAGGGGGAGGGGAATGGGGGAGGGAGCGCAGTCAAGGGAGGTGAGAAGAGGCGGAATATTCGGGGCAGAGGAGGGAGTAATTGGGTAGCAGCCTGTAGGGAGGAGAGATGGAACAGACTGATGAGTGAGAAGCGGGAATGGATGGGGATGAGGGATGCTGATGCATGAAGGTGGGACGACTGACGGGAGGATCGGTGAGGGAGGAATCGGGGAGGGCAGGAGGCGGGAGGAGGGAGAGCGGTTTCCGAGTGAGCGAGGATGAAGCGTGGATGAGCGGCATGCAGTCGGGACAAGGCAACAGAGGCATCCGACCCGTTGTTGGCTGGTTACTCTGAGCGCCAGGTGCCCAGGAGCGACCGCACACACCCTCCCAAGGCCGCAGAGCAGTCGAATTCGTTTGATTCTGCGCGATTTCGACTGCTCTTTGCTCCTGTAGATGCTTCCTGGTTGCTTCTGGGCACCGCTTGCCGAGGTTTTCTGCTAGGAAACTGGATCCACTTTCTGCGGCCTGCCTGGGCGAGAGCTGGAGAGCTGGATGAACATGTAGCTGCCTGTGGCCCTCGTGCGGCCAGGTACGCTGGCCCTCCGCATGTGGGCGTCGGCTTTTTCGTTGTTCCGGCTGTTAATTGAAAACTGGGGCCGTGCACACAAACATCGCGAAGCGTCGATTGGTATAATATTATCACAGCGTGCCTATCAGAAGGCGGGGCAGGTGGAGGAACACTTTTTCCTCATGGCCGATGCGCAGCTTCAAGAATGCTCCAGTGCCCCGCAGCATGAGGCTGCGGAGCACCACTTTGCCGCTCTCGGCCACCATCTTAAAACTCGGCTGTGTTCCATTATCTTCAGAATGGAGCGGGCCCGTTTCTGCCACCCGCCTCTGCTGCCACCTTTCCTTCAGGCAAGGCAGGGCGTGCGGCTGAGCGGGTGGGTCCCAGATCAATGGTTCGGCCGAGGAGGTCTACGGTAAGTAAAATGAGGATGAGGATGAGGAGGAGGAGGAGGATGAGGATGAGGATGAGGAGGACGAGGACGAGGATAAGGATTATGAGGATGAGGATGAGGATGAGGATGAGGATAAGGATGAGATGAGGACGATGATGATGATGATGATGATGATGATGATGATGATGATGATGATGATGATGATGATGATGATGCTGATGATGATGATGATGATGATGATGATGATGCTGATGATGATGATGATGACGATGCTGATGATGTGGCTGATGTTTATTCTGATGATTATGATGTTGATGACGATGTTGGTGATGACGATGATGCTGATGATGATGATGATTCTGATGATGATGATGACGATGTTGGTGATGACGATTATTATGATGATGAGGAGGATGAGGATGAGGATGAGGATGAGGATGCGGATTGTGATTCTTTGGCTTACGCCGCACCGCCGACCCCTTGGGGGAGAGTCGCTGTTGCGGCTTCTTGGTGCTGCGTGACTTATGCTTGTACTTATATCGAAGACGCCTACGGCGAATCACCGCCGCCCCCTACCCTTTTGGAAGCGCTTATGTGGCCGACAGCTGGGCTAAAGCTTGGTCAAGCTATCGGGCCAGTTGTTGCCCGAGTCGGTTTGGAAAGCCTTCGGGGAACGCGGGGGGAGCAAGAGGAGGAGGAGGATCAGGAGAGGACAGATGATGATGATGATGATGATGATGATGATGATGATGATGATGATGATGATGATGATGATGATGATGAGGATGAGGATGAGGATGAGGATGAGGATGAGGATGAGGATGATGGGGAAGGAGGAGGAGGAGGAGGAGGAGGAGGAGGAGGAGGAGGAGGAGGAGGAGGAGAAAGAGGAGGAGTAGGAGGAGGAGACTTCTTGGGAACCTCTTGGGAGGCCTCTTGGGAGGCCTCTGCGGAGCTTCCCGGGAGCCTTTGGAGGCCTCTTGGGAGCCTCCCTGGGCCTTTTGGGGGCCTCTTGGGGGCCTTTGGGGGCTTCTTGGGGGCCTCTTTGGCCGTCTTAGGTCGTTCCTGACTCGCCTGACGCCGTCGGAAGCCGTCTTGGGGGCCTCTCTGAACCGACTTGGGGCCCTCTTCGGGCGCTTCAGGGCCGTCTTGGAGATCGTCTTGGCCGTCTTGGAGGCCTCTTGGGCCGTCTTGGGGCCCTTTGTGGGCCGTCTTGGGGGCCTATTGGGTCGTCATGGGGCCCTCTTGGAGGCCTCTTGGGCGATTTTTGGGACCTTGGGGGCCCTCTTGGCACGCGTTTGGCGTGTCTCGTGTTCTCCTTGGCGCATGTTTGGCGCGTCAGCTCTCCCGCGCTCTTGCACACATTTGGCGTGTCTGCCCACGCGACCAGACGGACGCAAGGCTTAGTGGTGGTTGTGGGGGGCCCTCTTGGGCCGTCTTGGGCCGTCTTGGGCCGTTTGAAGGCCGAAACGGCGCAAATGACAGAATCCATGAAAAATTAAGGAAAATCAGAGATTTTGACTTCTTCGAGCCTTCCCTGGAGGACCTTGGAGGTCTCTTGGGCCGTCTTGGAAGCCTCTTGGGGGCCTCTTGGGCCGTCTTGGGCCATCCTGAGGCAACCATAGGCCGTCTTGGGTGCATCTTGTGCCGTCTTGTAGGCATCTTGGGGCCATCTTAGCCGTCTTGGAGGTCATCTTGGCCGTCTTGGAGGCATCTTGGAGACCATTTGGAGCCATCTGGACCGTCTTGGACACCATCTTGGGCCGTCTTGGACGATTTTTTGGGGACGTTGTGAGCGACTGCGCGCCTTTCTGGGTGGCCGGCGGGACGGGCTGGAGCCCCAGAGGAGAGTTTTTTTGGAAAAGAACCCAAACCAAACCGTCTGGGATCCAGCATGCCAGGCACTCCTGTGATGAATCAACAGGGGGCGGCGGATCTAGTGGCCTTCGGCCCATCCCGCGACCGTGCCTGGGTTTGGTTCAGAGGCGACCGAGGCCGCGCTCTGCGCCTTCGTGAAGGACAGGCCTTCTCAGATTATTGCCAGCACCAGGGGCAGCCGGCGGCAGCTCTGGCCGACCTCCGAGCTGCGACTCCCGCCCGAGCTGGTCTGAGATCCACGACGGCTCGATCCAGCCACTGCCTGCTGCACGGTGGTTGTGGGATTCCTCCGGAAGGCTCGCACAGCTCAGCGGAGCAAGAGGTGATACGATACGTTCAGATATTTGCTGGCCTTCGGCCCATCTCGCCACTGTGCCTGGGTTGTAGGTCAGAGGCCTCTCGGGGCCCTCTTGGCCCGTTTTTGGGCGCTCGTGGCTCCGGCCAGAAAGTCATTCGGGAAGCGCCAGGGAACCGCGGGAGGCACGCCAGGAACCCCTGAACATTTGATTTGGGGTCTGGGCCCTTTAATTTTGTCATCCTGGAGGCTGAGGATTGAGGACTACATGGGGCCCGAGGGCATTCCAACTCGTGCTTCGTGGCACGGTGGCGGATTTCAAGTATTTCCAAGACTACCCTGATTTCCAATACTTCCAAGTGTACCGCTCGGGCTGCATAAGCGATGGCGGCTAGACACTCCGGAACTCCTGGGACGTATCTTGAGCCTCTCGCATCAGGACATCATTCTCGTCCTAACAGCTGCTGCGAGGGTCGAGGATTCGACGCCGCTTGGAGCCATGGAGGCAACCCTGGGGACCACATCTCCCCTCGCTCGCGCCATCTTGAGCCGAACTGGTCATTGATGGCGAGTGGTGCTGCGGTAGGAGGTGGTTCTGGGCCCTTGAGGGGCCTCCCACGGCCTCCTAGGGCCTCGTGGGCCTTGGAGGGTCCCGTGTGGAACTTCTGGGGAGTTTAGCAGGCGGATGGGCAAGCGAGGCTAAATGAATGATGATGAACATGATGATGATGATGATGATGATGATGATGATGATGATGATGATGATGATGATGATGATGATGATGATGATGATGATGATGATGATGATGATGATTCTGATGATGATAACGATGATGACGCTGATGATGATGATGATGGTGATGATGATTATGATGATGATGATTGTGATGCTGATGGTGATGCTGATGATGCTGACGATGACTATGATGATGGTGAGGAGGATGAGGAGGAGGAACAGGAGGATGATACTGATGCTGATGCTGATGATTCTGATGATGGTGATGATGATGACGAGGAGGAGGAGGAGGAGCAGCATCATTATCAGCATCAGCACCGTCGTCGTCATCACTAGCATTATCAACATCGTCCGCATCCTCATCATCCTCATCCTCATCAGCATCATCATCATCGTCATCGTCATCATCGTCGTCGTAGCTGTCATAGTCATCATCCCTATCATCATCAGCATCATCATCGTCATCGTCATCATCATCATCATCATCATCATCATGATCATGTATTCTTTTCGGGGATCATCCGTCAAAATTGGAACGATACAGAGAAGATTAGCATGGCCCCTGCGTAAGGATGCCACGCACAAATCGAGAAGTGTATACAATCATCATCATCGTCATCGTCATCATCACTATCATCATTAGCAGCAGCAACATTACCATCATCGTCATCATTCTCGTCATCAGCAGCATCATCGTCGTCAATCTTCTCCTCACGTCCTCCTCTTACTCATCCTCAACCTCCTTCCCGATCTCCCTCTTACACCACCCTCGATTCCTCATCCACTGCAGCCTCCCTTCTACTCCACCACGTCATCCTCTTCCTCCTTATCCTCCCCCAGTTGATGCTGATGATGAAGACGATGATGATAACGATGGTGACGATTATGCTGATGATGGTGGCTGTGGTCATGATGATGCTGCTGCTGATAACGATAATCTTGATGATGCTGATGATGATGCTGATGATGATAGTGATGATGATTATGATGACGATGCTGACGATCATGCTGGTGCTGCTGATGATGATGATGATGCTGATCATGATGCTGGTGCTGATGATGAGGCTGATGATGATGCTGATAATGATAATGATGTTGATGCTGATGCTGATTGTGATGCTCATGATGACGATATGCTGATGATGCTGATACTGATGCTGCTACTGCTACTGCTGATGACGATGCTACTATTGATGATGATGATGCTGCTGATGATGATGATGAGGATGCTGATGGTGATGATGATGGTGCTGATGATTTTGCTGATGCTTATGCTGTTGATGATGATGATGATGATGATGATGATGATGATGCTGATGATGATGATGATGATGATGATGCTGATGATGATGATGATGCTGACGGTGATGATGATGCTGCTGCTGATGCTGATGCTGCTGATGATGCTGCTGCTGATGCTGATGATGCTGCTGCTGATGCTGCTGATGATGATACTGACGACGATGATGATGCTGATGCTGTTGATGATGATGACTGCGATGATGATGATGATGATGATGATGATGATGATGATGATGATGATGATGATAATGATGATGATGGTGATGACGATGTTGCTGCTCCTGCTGTTGATAATGATGATGGTGATGATGATGCTGCTGCTGCTGCTGCTGATGATGATGATGATGATGATGATGAGGATGATGATGATCTTGATCATGATCATGACGACGACGTCGACGACGGTGGCGACGACGACGATGACGATGATTCAATAATCATTGGTTTTGGTGGTGATGATGATGGTGGTGATCGGATGATGATGGTTATGATGACTACAAGGAGGACGAAGCGGGGGAGGAGGTGGAGGAGGATGAGGAGAGGGGGAGGAGGACGTGGAGGAAGAGGAAGAGGAGGAGGAGGAGGACGAAGACGAGGATACGGAGGAGGAAGAGGAGGATGAGGAGGAGGAGGAGGAGGAGGAGGAGGAGGAGGAGGAGAAGGGAAAGGAGATGAGGAGGAGGACCAGTGTAAACCCAAGACGCATCAACGATGTGGGAATCTACCCTCCGTAGCATTTTTGGCCCAAGCCATTTTGGCTCAAGGCTCACACCTGCCCCTGGAAGTTGATCCGTGGCCGTGATCGACGGGGAGGCTCAGGCTTGGGGAAAAGGCGCGCCCTCTTAGGCTCCCGTACACCCCCAATCGGGTGTCGTCCGTCCCTTAGGCATGTCTCGTTTTGGTACTGCGTGCCCGCCATGGTTCACAGCCTTCCTTCGCCGAGGGGCAGTTTGCTGGCCTGGTACGACGTGGAAGAAACCCACCTCCCAGATGAATGAGATCGGCGGAAGGGTGGCAGCCGTCGAGGTCAAGTTCGAGGAACTCCAGGCCAAGCAACGCGACACCGATAAGATTCTGCATGTGGCTACAACATCGTCAGCGGCTTCCACATCCATGGGGCACAAGCGTCCTCGTGCCATGGGCACCGTGGGCACTGCTTGAGATGCTTCATAGCCTGGTCGTCTCTGGGTCTCTGGATATCCTCGTGGTGGTCTAGATTTCAAGCGCCGCGGCTTCGGTCCACCGTCCCGTCCCATTTGCTCGTGGGCACCACAGCCAAGTTCGCCAAGACCAGTCAGAGCTTCTCGCTGTACCCCGCCACTCCTAAGTTGGCTGCTGGGTTCAAGGAGTGGTTCATCGCTCAGAATTTGGAGTGGGCCGGCGCTCGGGATAACAACCAGCATGCGCTGCGCCTTCGTTTTGTTCTACCAGATCTTGTTCGGCACCGCCAACGCTATATGTCCAAGATGTGGGCTCCTGTCGTCCAGCACCTGCACAGCATTAACAGGTTCGATCACACCTTCGCGATTGGCGCTAATGGCTTCCGTCGTGAGTTCTTCAATCGCACTGAGTCTGGCCACTACGTGCTGGTCAAGGGGGAGGTTGATTCGCTCGGGCGGCTTTGCCCAAACCGGACGAAGAGGACCTGCGCTAATGGGGGATCGCCGCTGGGGTCATGCAGAAGTGGACCGACGCTTGCCGTGGTTGACATGTGACGCGACCAGCTACTTCGACGCCGTGCTGGTCAGGGCTTGCAGCCAGCGCCACCATCTCATTCAGCACGATCTTTACAGGCCTCTGGGATACAGGTCGCTTCAGTGTGTGATAGTCCGAATTCGCCACGTACAAGTTCTGTGCCTACTTCTTCGTGCTCGTCGTCTACTCCCTCTGACTCTGAGCATGGGGAGCCACCTGCTGCCGCTGTCCTTGCCCTATCTTTGCACGGTCCGCCACCGCCGTGGTCTAGGAGCGACCGTGCGATGCACCAGCCGCCTTTTTTCCCTGCTTCATCTTTCAGCGTCCTGTCTTGGAATGCTCGTGGGCTATTTGCTTCAAGTCGCACGCGTCGTCGAGTGAATGCTGCGGCCAGATATCGGAAGTTCCCGGGTCCATGTCGGAACTGCTGCGTCGTCTGTGCCCAGGGGCGCGCGGGGCAGTTGCAGATCTGGAGGCTCTCCAGGGGGATTTCCGTGGATCGAGTGTTGGGGCCGCCATGTTCCACGACTCGGCGCGCGCCGGTGGCCTCGTCGCGTTCATTGCCCCAGAGCGTCCAACATGTCATCTCTGTCTCGCATCGCATCGCCCAGGAAGGGAGGGTGCTTCTGAGTATCTTGACGGGATGGGGCAAGGAGCTTAGCAATCATGAGTGTGCGCGTGCCGAATGCCCGTGCGCCGCTGCGTGTCTACTCAGACTCGCTTGATGAGCTCGTGGAAGTTTTACCGCCGCCCAAGCAGTGCTTCTCGATCATGCTAGGTGATTGGCATTTCGCGCTAGAGGAAGAGGGAAATATGTTTGCTGATGGCAGTGGATGGTCCAATGGAGATGTTTATTCCGTGAAGGTTTTGCTTGCAAATGTGAGAACTGGATATGGTTCTGGCAAGCCGGGGACGCGAGGCGAGAGTTACGCGACAGGAGTATTGCGCAGCTTGATCGAGTGTACTCCTTCTTGCCGGCTGCGGTGGCTTCTGGTATCATTGCCCAAACCTTTGTCTTTGGCAAGCTGTGTCATGCCCGCGCCCCCGATCACGTCCTGTCCCTGCCCAGATCCGCACTTTCCGCCCCCCACTATGGTGAGGCGCGATTGCCCCGAGTTGGCCAGGCAAGCCTGACACTTCCCAGCAAGTTCTAGAACCGGAACTCGAGGCCCGCGCTGATAAGTTCGATGCGCTTGACGCCGCTGCGGTCGTGCGCAGTGTCAAAGGGATTCTGCGCCATATCGTTCCTCGGGTTCGTTGTCGTCTCGGTAACCGGGTTGCCGTGGAGTTGCAAGTGGGGCGTTGCTGGTGCCTGGTTTCTCTCCGAGGTCTCAAATCTCAGCGGGACCGTCTAGTTTGCAAGGCGCTTCCCTGCTATCCGCCGCTGCAGCAGTGTCTTGATATCAGCGCGATCGTCTGCGCGGACTTCCAAGGTGTCCGCGGCCGCGCCCGGGATTTTTCTTGTCCAGATTTTGAATGGGGAGGAGGAGCAGGTGCAGGGGGGCGTGAACATGACTGAGGAGGCTAGGAACCTCGTCCTTGGGAAGCCACGCCGTCAGCCAGAGTTGCGGAGGAAATTTGGGCGCCGTGCAGTGATCGCTGCCGCTTTTAATGAGCGCGGCCAGCCGTGCGCTGCCCTGGATGAGTCCGCCAGCGAGTCAGCGAACCATTGCGGGGGGGCGGGGGTGGAGTTTTCTTTGCTGTGCCCGCCGGTCATTCTGGATGGTGAAATCCTGGCCCATGCGGAAGCTGTTCCTGAGGGCGATGATGAGACTCGCGTTCTCTGGGGAGTTGTCTATGCAGATTTCTGCCAGCATATTAGACGGTGCCGTGACTCTATGCCTGGGCCAGATGGAACTGCGCATGCTTGTTAGCGCGTTGGAGCTGCGCCCCGCTACCATTCCGACTACCACTTAGAGATTGTCCAAGGTAGTGTGGGCTCTCTACCGTTTGATATGGGTCAGGTGCCGTTGGTTTTCCCACCGAAGAGGGGCGGGGAAAGGGAGTGGGGCTGGGGACAATATCCGTGATTTTTCTAGCACGTGCCCGCTCGCGATGTCCAGCTCCGATGCCGAAGTTTTGTCTAGTGTCTTCTGCATGCCGCTCAATGTGTTCTCCCAGTCCACGGTTGCCCCTCTGCATAAGTGTGTCAGGGGTAGGCAGATGCCAGCGACTGTTGCCCAAGCGGAGACCTCAGTGTACGACAATGCTGCCATCCTCTTCCCCTGGCTTTGCCGAGGCCCCCCCATCGCTCGAGCGCGTCTGGCTTTTCGCCGTGCCTGCTGCCATGCGCGCGCCGCCGTTCGCCCTGAGCTCTTGCAAGGTACTCTATGCAAATGATTCCCTGGGAGGCCGGAGGTTCGGGAGGTTCGAGCTTCGCCGGGGTGTTCGGCGAGGGGGTCCCAGCTCCTCCATGGCTCTCTTCTGTCTTTGTTTTGATCCTGTGCCCAGATCGATTCAGCCTGCGCTGCCTGCTCACGTGTCGCTCTGTTTTGCCTATGCCGACGACTGTCTCTTTTCCGTGGTCAACTTTTTTTTTTTTTTTTTTTTTTTTTTTTCTTCAGATCTCCGCGTTCTGTCTGGCGCCGGCTGCGCGTGTCAGAAGGAGCCGTCGGACTGGCGCTCAAATCAAGCAAGTGTGCATTACTTCCGTGTGAAAAGGCTGAGGAAGGAGGAGGTGCGATGTAAGCTGGGCCACTGGGGAAAGGGGTGGAGCTGGTGGGGATTTGCTATGCAGTGAAGTATATGGCCATTATATTGGCTTTGAAGCTGCTGGCTTCGCCCGGGAAGCACCCCATCGCCGAGTTCGTTGCCTGCTGTGCCCAGCTTCGCTAGCTCTCTCCTGGCAGTGCCGTCATTGTTGCCGCTTTTAGAATCATGTACCTGTCCGTTCTGCAGTTCGCGATGCAAGGGGGGCCCTTCGCTCCGCTCTTGAAGAAAGTTTACAGGCATATTCTTCAGAGGCTCACTTGTGGTCCGCAGTCACCACGCGTTTTCGTATACTATGCTAGTATCTATAGAATTGGGGTTCCAGATCGAGTATCCCGAAATCGCGGCCCTCTCTATTGCCTGCCGCGCCCGTCTTGCCTGCGAGGTCCTTGGGGCCGGAAACAGTTGTGCGGGGCTTAAGCGTGTGATTGACAGTCGCGCTGTTTGTTATGGGCGTCTGGTTGATCCGAATTGCCAGTGTCGGCGGTTTTCTTGCCCACTATGTTTCAGTCTGCTCAGCTCGTGCGCGGTGTTGTTCGTCTTTTAGAGTTGCAGCTTGCCGCGTTCCAGAGACAGCTGCGTGCCCGCCTCCATGCTCTTCCCCTTCCTGGGCCGTCGCCCTTCGAGGGCCTGCAGTGCCGTCTCAGGGGCTGGCTGCCAGAGTATGTTTGTTCTAACCTTGCTCACCTCATCCTTCAACGCCGTCGTAATGCAGCAGCGTTCTCTTCTGATCTCGCCATGGGTGTTCTTCGTGTGTGTACTCGTGGGGTATGTGCCAGCGCTCGTTTTCACTCCTCGCCCCTCGTATGTATCCTTGGGGTACAAACAAAGAATATAGGTTTGCCACGTCCAGAGACCATGGCGACCTTCGCCCCTGCAAGTTCTGCCATCGCTTCCCCGAGATGCGTGTCAGATGGATGGTTCGCAATTTCCTATAGCAGCTGTTATGATGTCACGGATTGTTTTTATAATCCCTCCCTCTTCCCGTGTCGCTGCTGCGTGCTTACATGTGTGACGCTTTATGTCAGGTTTGGCCCCCTTGGCACTACCGCCCAGGATTTCGAGGCTACGCTGCATTTTTTTGTTTGTTTTTTTTTGTTTTGTTTTTTTTTTTCACGCGGCGGCACCAGGCCGTAGCCGCTGCGTGGGACGCGAGCGGGACTGGGCCTGGATGGCTCGCTCCTGGTTGACAACCGTTGGGTTGTATTCCAACTGTGCCGTGTGGGGGCCTCCAGTGTAGCCCATGAAGCCTCAGCGCCCTTAACAGGTGTTGGCCTGGAATCGGGTTGCAACAAAACACGATATTGGAATACGCCCTCCCTGCAATGTCCCTCTTCACAGGCCCCTTACAACAAGGGCCGTTTCCAGTGAAGGAATTGCCCCGTTGGGGGACAACCGTGTGAACATCTGGAAGCGTGCCACAACACCGTCTTCAGGATCTCAACGCCACGAATTAACCAGACTGATACGTCGTGGCGATCATGAATAATGCCAGAACACCATTCCTGGGACATCAGCACCGCGAGTCAACGTAACTGTTGCGCCCTGACAATCCTGAATGGTTCCAACACGCAATATTTGGTATGTTAACCATGAGAACCAATGAAACTCTTACAAGTGCTTTACACGAGTGTGCGCCGCGCTAAAACGAGAACCGCATTTTGAAAAAAACACCCTCAATCTGTGAAGCTCTTGAAAACGAATGTGCGCGCCGCTAAGGCGAAAACCGCATTTTGACCCCCCCGATACGTGAGTCTTTTGCACATTTCTGTAACGAATTTGCGCGGCGCTACGGCGAGAACCACATCTTGAAAAGAAACAGTCCTCATTCCGTGAAGATCTTGCACATGTTTACAGCGAGCGTGAGTGGCGCTACGGCGAGAGCCGACCTTTGAAAACCAGCCGCCCTCATTTCGTAATGCCCTCGCCAATTTTTAGACAAACGTACGCGGCGCAAAGGCGAGAGCCACATTTTGAAAACCGCCCGCCTTCAATCAATGGCGGTCTGGGCAAATTAAAAGAATGCGCGGTGCTAGGGCGAGAGCCATATTTTGAAAAGGAGCCGCCCTCAATCCGTGAACCCCTTGCAAGTTTTTGAAACGAAGGTACGTGGTCCAGTGGCGAGAACCACATATTGAAAACGACCCGCCCTCCGTCTGTGAAGTTGTTGTCAATTTTGAAGCATCAAGGTCATACGTGATGAGGAGGTCTCAGGCGATACGCCCATCCCGCCCTTCCGACCGGCCTCGGGGTGCGACAGGGGAATTTATTTATAAGGACAAGGAGTGGAGGAGGAGGCGGATGATGATGATGGTGATGATAATGATGATGAGGAGGAGGAGGAGGATGAGATGGAGGAGGAGGAGGAGGAGCAGGATGGAGAGGAAGGAAACGGAGGACTTGGTGGCGGTGGAGGGCTATGGGAACGATGAGATGGTGGAGGAGGGAGCGGGGGTAAGGACGGATGGTAATGTTGATACGTATGATGCTGATGACGATGATGATGCTGATTGTACTGCTGGTTATGCTGATGATGATGCTGCTGATGATGATGATGGTTATGATGATGATGATGATGATGATGATGATGATGATGATGATGATGCTGATGCTGATGCTGATGCTGATGCTGATGCTGATGCTGATTATGATGATGCTGCTGCTGATGGTGATGATGCTGAAGATGACGGTGATGATGATGGTGGTCATGATGATGATGCTAATGATCATGCTGCTGCTGATGATAATGTTGCTGCCGTTGATGCTGATGATGATGACGACGATGATTATGAGGGTGATGGCGATGATTCGGAGGAGGGGCAGGTCGAGGGAGGAGGGATGATGCGAACGAGGTGGAGGATGCGCAGCCTCGTCCAAACTCCTCACGGGATTGCCAAAGTTAGCGTCTCCCGGCGGCACCCGCGCTTCGGCTGTATCTAGACGGTGGGTGCATTCCCGCTCCCCGAGAAGCTTCGGGCGGGGTGTCACCCGCGCGCCGCACGCAGCGCCTCCTCCTCGAAGGGGGCTACCTCGTCTTCGCCGTCCTCCTCGTCCTCTTCTTCTCCTCCTCGTCCTCCTCATCACCATCTTCGTCCCTCGCCGCCTCTCGTTTTCCTCCCGCTCAACTTTCTCCCACTCTCCCTCCGTCCACTTCCCACTCCCCATCCACTACCACCTCCTCCTCCACCTGGCATCGCTCGGACCTGTGAACTTATCCCTTCGAGGACAATCGGGATCCTGCTAGAAAAAGCAACAAAAAAAACACGAAACCGAATAATACACGGGGAATGGACGTCCTCGCGATGGCAAGTCAAGTTCCTCCTTCACCACTGCCGCTCTGGTCGTCCCCTGGCATGTAGGCGTCGCGGTAAAAGCATGACGGGTGGTTTTGTCCGCGCCTCGGGCCCCCGGGACCCCTGCCGATTGATCTGGCCTGAAACGCTGGCATGCAGACAAGGTTCGGCGCCCCCAGACGCTCGGCATCGTTCAGACTTCTGGATTTTTTTCCGGCGGGGGCAATCGAGGAGCATTTGGGGTCACCCTGCTGAACAAAGAAACGCACGAAACCAACAACAAATTGGGAATCGATGTCCGAGCGATGGCAAGAACAGTGTGGGGACCCCACCGCGTGGTGAGTCAGTAGGGATTCGGGGTCACCGCACGGTTCTGGGATTCGGTCGTCCGAGTTCTCGCGACCAGGGCTTCCGAGTCCCAAGGCCGTGCAGTGACGGACGGCGCGGTGAGGTCTTGAAATTTCCAGGTCGCCACGCGCTCCGCAAGCACACGGTTTTGGGACGCTGGAGATGTCGAGAGCTCTGGTCGTTAGCTTTTTCATGCTGTGTTTTTGTTTTTTTGTTTTTGTTGTGTTTGTTGCTTTTGTTGTTGTTTTTGTTGTAGTTGTTGTTGAATTTTCATTTCTGAAGAATAAATATTGTTGATCCCCCCGTCCGGTGCACATTTTTTCGATTGAAGTGCCCTTCCCGGGGCTCGCACCTTTTTTTGATCAGGGAAAGTCTTGAGGGTCAAACTGCGTTGTTGGCCCCCGGTTTACAACAACAACGGCTCCCGCTCCCGCCTCATATTTCCTTACAATTTATTGAAGAATCGCGCTTTCGCTTGAGACTTCCGTGCAATTTACTACCGGATCGCGGCTCCCGCTTGATACAGTTATTTGAAGAATCGCGCTCTCGCTTGGGACTTCCTCGCAACTTACCACCGAATCGCGGCTCCCGCCTGATACTTCCTTACAATTTATTCAGATGCCTTTCCTCGACACTCAGGAATCGCGCTCCCGCTACATATTGCCTGGCGGTTCAAGCAGAATTTACGCTTCAACGACCCGCCCGCTCGACCCGCCCGTCGGGGCCTGCCCGCCCGACCAGCCCGTTAGGGACTGCAGTCGCCGCTCGCTGCCCTTCGCCCGCCTTCGATGCCCCTCGCTGCCCGTACTGGTTCCGCGGTCGCCTTCGCTCGCTGCCCTTCGTGGCCCCGTTGCTGCCTTCAGTGGCCCCGTCTCTGCCCATTGTGACCCCGCATTCTATGCCCTTCGTGGCCCCCGCTCGTTCACGCCCGTCGTGGCCCCATATGTATGTCCTTCGTGGCCCCGCTGTCGCCCTTCGTAGACCCCTCTCTGCCCTTCGTGGCCCCGGATTAAATGCCCTCAGCGGCCCCGTCGCTGCCCTCTGTGGCCCCGGATTATTTGCCCTTCGTGGCCCCCGCTCGCTCGCGCCCTTCGTGGCCCCATACGCATGCGTGTCGTCGCCCCGCTGTCGCCATTCGTGGCCCCCTCGCTGCCCTTCGTGGCCCACTTTCTGCGCTCAGTGGCCCCGCTGTCGCCCTTTCTGGCTCCATGTATGTATGCCCTTCGTGGCACCCGCTCGTTCGCGCCCGTCGTGGCCCCATATGCATGCCCTTCGTGGTTCCGCTGTCGCTCTTCGTGCCCCCCTCTCTGCCCTTCGTGGCTCTGTTTCTGCCCTCAGCGGCTCCGTCGCTGCCTTCAGCGGCCCCCTATACGTATGCCCTTCGGGGCGCCTGATACTTCCTCACAGTTTTTTGGAGAATCGCGCTCTCGTTTTGGACTTCCTCGCAACAATACGTATGCCCTTCGTAGCCCCGCTGTCGCCCTTCGTGGCCCTCTCGCTGCCCTTCGTGGCCCCTTTGCTGCCCTCAGTGGCCCCGCTGTCGCCCTTTGTGGCCCCATAGACGAATGCCCTACGTGGCCCCCGCTCGTTCGCGCCCGTCGTGGCCCCATATGTATGCCCTTCGTGGCCCCGCTGTCGCCCTTTGTGGCCCCCTCGCTGCCCTTCGTGGCCCCAGTGTTGCCCTCAGCGGCCCCGTCGCTGCCCTCCGTGGCACCGGGTTAAATGCCCTTCGTGCCCCCCGCTCGCTCGCGCCCTTCGTGGCTCCTTATGCATGCCCTTCGTCGCCCCGCTGTCGCCCTTCGTGGCCCCCTCGCTGCCTTTCGTGGCCCACTTTCTGCGCTCAGTGGCCCCGCTGTCGCCCTTTCTGGCCCCATATACGAATGCCCTACGTGGCCCCCGATCGTTCGCGCCCGTCGTGGTCCCATATGCATGCCCTTCGTGGCTCCGCTGTCGCCCTTCGTGGCCCCCTCTCTGCCCTTCATGGCTCCGTTTCTGCCCTCAGTGGCCCCGTCGCTGCCCTGTGCGGCCCCCTATACGCATGCCCTTCGTGGCCCCTGCTCGTTCGCGCCCGTCGTGGCCCCATATGCATGCCTTTCGTGGCCCCATTGCTGCCCTTCGTCGCTCTGCTTGCCATGTGTGGCCCCCTCGAGACCTTCGTGGCCACTTTGCTGCCCTCTGTGGCCCCGCTGTCGCCTTTTTCGCCCCCCATATATGTATGCCCTTCGTGGCCGCCGCTCGCGTCCTTCGTGGTCCCAGTCTTCTTTACTCTTTCCCTTTATCTCCATTGTAATTTCGTTCGTATTCCATTTGCTATTCCTCAGTTCTTCGCATTCCGTCCACTCCTCCCCAGGCCACCCCATTCCACCCCAACAATCTCCACCCCTTCCCGCTCGCATTCCGCATTTCTCCCAACTTATTCCCAGTGCGCCCCCCGCTCCTCCGCACTCCTCCCGGTTCCTCTTCTCCACTCTTTGCCGCTCCTCCTCCTGAGACCCTACTCTTGTCCACTCCTTCCCAATCCACTCCGCATCCCCGCGCTCCTCTTGACACGGTTGCAGTTCTCATTATCCTTCCGCCCCAGTCTCCCGACATCCCGCTTCTTTTCAGGGTTCCACGAAATTTGTTTCTGACACCAGTTCGCAGCTGTACGTCCCCCCGTGGGGGTATCCACGATAGGTTCTTTCAAAGGGGTGGTGCGTGGCGCTGTATATTGCGCGACCCATGGCGAAACTGGTTGTTAACCTGTGTTGGAGTGGCTGGCGCAAGCCGTGGCGCAAGCTGAGTCGCCCGTCGCAGCGCAA